TCACACAATACTTACCAATCACTTCAGTCCACAGTTTCCCTTTGTGTATAATATTTCTAATTAATACTGTTTTTCCTTCTCAAATACAAGTAAAATTATTTTTCCAACGCTTTTGTATCAACTTTCAATCAAATATATCGCACTTCAGATACAAAAACCGACAACAAAGCAGGCGCATACCAGGACAATAAACCACCGCTGTCTGTCTATCATTCACTCAAGTTCTGTTTGCTATTGTCATAAATGCAACATGTATTGTATATTTATTTGTTTTTGTTATATTTGCTTGTTATTTTTATAGAAGAAAAGTTGTTGATAAACACAATGCGTTTATTTGCATCAAACGATGACTTACATTTCATTTGTGTAATGATGTTTCCTACTAAAAATGTCTGATTCAAGTGTAACGCTACGAATGTTGTGAAAAAATGTTTGAAGAGTAAACACTTCAAATTTAAATTTAACTGAAATTGGAATAGAATTCGAATGGAATAATATTTTATCTCTGAGTATTTAATATTTATCACGCCTGTTAAATATTAAACGGTTATTCATAAGAAGTGAAGTGTAGTGAATAATGTTCCTCTTGATACACCAAACTGGGTCAATTGCTTTGAATTGTAGCTTTGCAATTAATAACACTTAACGTGCTCGCCTAAATGTATGCAATACTTTAAAGAACCATTTGCGGTTATATTGCGGCATAGCAAATGTGTTTAAATGCACGTTTTCGCGCCAAATGTAAACACAATTTGCAATTGATTTTAGTGTATTTTCCAAAAATATTCTTATACACAAGTGAAGTGTATATTTGCTTATATTTATGGTAAATAAAATTTTTTAAAAATACGCAACGTTTCAATGCGTTATTGCCACTTTTTTATTGCTTTCCAAGTTGCTTTCATGCAAGTTCACATGTGTTTTTCATGGCTAAACAATTTTATTGCTTCACTTTTTAAAATATAAAAATAAAAAATGGAAAGTACTTTTAAATAAAATTTAAAAATTCTTATAATGTGCCAACATGTTCATGTAAAATTTAAAATTGTTATGGTTTTATAATAACGTTTGAATGACGTATTTATATACGTATACGCATTTAAATTTAATTTTCTTTTAAAAACTTGAGCTTCAAAAATTAACTTTTTGCCTCACACTTAACCTCATTTATCGTTCGCATTAAGCCATTTATCCGCCTTTTAATTTCCCTTTCTTTGCCTTTTAACTATTCAGTTATTCAGTTAGAATCCATGTTGCTCTTCGCAGACTATTGGCATAATTTTCCATGTCTCTCTTAGCTTTACTTTTTTTAGCTTTTAGCTTTTAGTTTGCTTTGCTGCTTGCATATAAATTTTATTAAGAAAAATGTCATTAACAATTGCCATTTTATGATTACTTCTCGTGTTAGTCGTGTTTTGTTGTAAAGATATTGCAACAGTTTTTCATTGCCTTGGCAACATATGTTGTCAACAGCATTCATAAAAGTACTGCCGGAACAGTATTAAGCCTTCTGCCATCCTCCTCCTCATCCTCCTCCTCGGCTACGACTCCGGCTCTTGCATGCAACCACTTACAAACATATTTTGAATAGCTTTTAATGCTTACATTTATGGCATTCAAAAGTTATTCAATTTAATATTAAGAAAATTCTTAAAATACTCGGAAGGGCTCGTACACAGACAGATAAGCGTATATTTCTCCTTCTCCTCCTTGGAGTAGGAATACTTTCAAAGGCAGTTATTGCTAATCCTGCAACGTGCAAGTACATGAAACAGCGTTTTAATGTGCCAACACAAATTTTAACATATTTAACCGAGTGTTTTTAATTTGCATTCTAAAGTCAAAGTTATTTTTTATTTTCACTTTATTTTTTATGTGTTTATAGTATGAGAAAATGGTATAAAATTAGGCCAATTGCTATTTTTAATTGGCAGTGAGCTTTTTGCCGCTCTATTTATGTCAATATTTATTAAATTTTTTCGCTATAAAGTAGAGAAAAATATTTTTTTTTAAATAAAGCTAAGTTATTTATTTAAATAAACAATTTTTTATGCGAAAAATTTTGGCAGTTAATGTATTTTGTCCTAATTAAAATAATTATTTTTTTTATTTCAAATATTTGAATTGCAATATATAAAAAATGAATTTTTTATTGCAGTAATTTTGATTTATTTTGGAATATACTTTGTCTTATATAAATTAAATAAATATAAAGTACTAATTAATAAATTTTGAAAAAATATATTACTAACATCAATTGTTTTTATTTATTCAAAATTTTAATATACTTATACATTATATCAGATGTGTTTAAAAAAATTTTTTTTTATAGTAATTTTTTCAAAGAGTATTAATGTATTTTGTATACAGATTTTTTAATATATTAGCACATAAAAATTGTTAATTAATTATTAGTCACAAAAAACTACACACAAAAAGTAGGTAGTCACAAATAGTTTTTGTAAACAATACATAGTGACGGAATTAAGAAAAACTACCATTTGCTATGATTAAGTTAATTTATATAGCTGTGGTTTATGTGTTAGTTCTAATTAATAAGACAGCAAGTGCAATAGTTGTTTATGAGTAAACAACAAAAATTGATACAATTCAAAATTTGTATAATGCAAATTAAATGGAAGTAGGCTTTGTAAATTAACACGCGAGTCTATCGTTCAGCTGGTTTAGTACATTTTTCTTCAATATTAGTCATTCTCCATGTTATGCACTTATACCACTAAAGTTCTAGGGTTTGAGAATCAGTGTGGGAATGATTTATATATCTCATATAATACATGAGATATACATATATTGTCAAGATATTTTTTAAGTGTTTTTGTGTTTTGGAATAACAATCATATCTAAAGAATAGGGTATTTGCGGTATTAAAATGAAATCCTAGACAAACAGTTAAGACAGTTAAGACAGTTAAGATTTTTTTTAACTTTTTAATTATAAATAGAAGTACTAAGATACCCACACACAGATATCGCATTATCTATAATATTGTCTCGTTCTCTCTAAAGGTGTTTGTTCCATGCATAAGCACAGAGTGGTCGAATAGTCACTGTTGTCAAAGACTTTTTTAAGCATTTTGAACGTATCGTTCTAATTAATTCCAATTTTAATATAAAATCTAAACCCAACACAAACACATATCATTTGCATACACTCAGCAAAAGAAACCTACTTATTACTGCTGCTGGTAAGGCCGGTGTTACTGGCAAAAAATGATCGTTATGGCCCTATAATGCAAACAGTCAATTGACTAATAGTCGTAGCAATTTTATACTCTTTTTGGTCATGACCAAAATGCATGTTATGGGCACGTCAAAATTTAACTTTTTAGTTATTTAGATAACTAAATTGCATGTTGTGTAGAGACTTATATCAGTACTTTCAATTGTTCTTTTTGGTTGCGCCTAAATTTAAGAGGAAATGTAGAAATGGTCACTTACAATTTGCACCCAGAAATAAGTATCAGTATAATACTTATAAAATAAATCGCTTTTCCTTAAAATGGGTAGGGGCAATAATTCGATTATGTGCGGTTTATAAAATTAAAATTTTATAATTGAAAATTAATAATGAGCCCCTTAAAGGCGTAAATTCTGACGTCACTATTTTGACAAATGTCCAGAAGCACACAAGGTCTCGTCACCATGACCAAATTTAAAACGATATTTGTTTTTTCTCTTTTCCTTTTTTCTCTCGCTCTCAATTTTTTAATTTGCATTGGAGACAACAATAATTCCATTTTGAGGTATCCTTGACTTTATGCATGACATGCCACTAACAGGGCACTCATCTGCACACTACATTTTATAGCTTAAAATTTTGATCACTGCGTCTCTTAAAATTCAGAGATTTTTATAATTGTTGTCAACTGATCGACGATTTTTCAAAACAACGAAGAAAATAATAAAATATTGTCTAAGTTTTAGTTTTGCATTGACATATACCTCCAGCTCAAAAAGTTCCCGAATTTTGTACAAAAAACACACAAATTTAAATTTTATTCTAAATTTATTTTATCTCCTTTAAAATATGCTCTTTTTGAAGCGATACACATATGCCAACGCTTAACCCAATCTTCCTTACACTTTTCGTAAACCCGTGCAGGTATGACTTTTAGTTCCTTCAGCGAATTCTCTTTTACCGATTCAATCGACTCAAAACGCTTACCACGAAGGGGCGATTTGAGTTTCGGGAACAGAAAAAAGTTGAATGCTCCAGATCTGGCGAATATGTAAAAAATCGCTCAATGCACTTGAGGTATAAACAAACTAATTAACAGATGGCGCTCAAATTTGTACCATATGTCAAGAAAGGGTGTACCAACATAGCAAAAAATTTTTTGAAAAAGGTCTTTTACTTAAGGAGCAGTTAACAAACACCAAAAATCGGATACTTTTTGAGCAGAAGGTAGATGGCACCTCGCGAAGTTATTGATTAAGTTATTATAGTACATAAATCTGATATTAGTGTATAAGACATTTTATAACAACATAACGTGCATAAATTATAATATTAATATATAAATTAATATAAAACTGATTGTTTTATATAGGTCAAAAATAAAACATAAATAAAAATAATTATTTTCAAGAAAATTTTTTGTCTAAAAAAGTTTATATCTAGCAAATCATATTAACTTAAGTTAAACTGCTAAGTATTTTTAGAAAAATTTTTTTAACTTTTTTTGAGCTAAAATATACTTAAAGTAATTTACTGTTTTTACAGTAAATGAAATGGAAGTTTTTGTGTTTTGAAAATCAATAATATTAATATTTACAGATTTTTTTTTTGCTTATAATATTGACAACATTTTATTCTATTTATTTTCTTCTATTCTCAGCTTAACGATATTTCGCAACTGCTTTTAATAACAATATTCTGAACAATAGATTAAATATACACAAAACAAAAAAATGATGGAAAACATTGTTGGCTTAAAAATATAAAAATTGAATATTTTATAAAACCACCACGCAACAGTTTGAAATAAAACTTAGAACAAAAATAAAAAAAAATCAATCAACAAAAATTCAGAAAATACTTTTGCCGCCATCCATCGCATACCATCGCATGCCACAACACCACATTGAAGCGTATTTAAAACTGCGGCCTTTAATTCCTACTAATCTCCTAGACAACAGAGTGTAACACAAAAATTCCAAACCAAAATTAAAATCTTCCTTGCGTTAGAGTTGGAATTACGCCAAGTCGCAACGAAAACTATACCACAACTCATCATTTAAAACGTACACATCCTTGACATTCCTTTTGAGGACGAACGTTGGCATTAAGTTTTCATCATTGCGTTTTTATACTTTTCTTCGTCGTGCCACGAGCACACTTTTAAGCCAAGAGCTCCAGTAGTCCAAGGGACAGCAAGAGGACAGCGGCATATTGCCGCTTTCAAGAAAACCGTGGCATCATATTATCCTGCTAAATCAGCAGGATTTAAAATTGCTGCTGCTATAGCTGCTGTTACTGCAACCAACGCTGTGACTCCTGCTACAGCCACAGGCACAGCCGACAACATGAAGCTGTCAAAGTTATCTAACCAAACCAACTCACAGGATCCGCAGGCTGTAAATTCACGTGTTTTCGTTGGAAATTTGAATACATTTCAGTGTTCGAAAACGGATGTAGAACGCATGTTCCAAATTTATGGTCGACTTGCAGGTTAGTGCTGCCATTATAATTGGTGATTCTTTTTCATGTAATTCTTAAAGAGTACTTTCTCTATTTTAGTTTTCAATTATTAAAATGCATTTTACATTTTATTTATATTTTTGTATATATATTAATATATAATAGATATATTTATATAATTAGATGCATTTGTTTATTTATTGGTCATTCATAATATTATTAGTGTTAATTTTTGTTTCCGTATTTACCGGAAATGGATCTAAATTTATATCTTACGTTTCTAAAAAGTTGTAGCTATAGATGTATTTTTTTCCCGGTCCCTAACCATTTTTTTCCCTTTATGCACACCACTTGGAAGCATAAAGTCTCAATCCAATTACCATATTTTATTTTATTTAGACATAATATTTTTAATTACGATCAGTTCAGTCCTATAGACTCAAACTCAGTTAACATCGATTTTCTCCATGTGTTACATAGTCTAACAGGTTTTCCTTTACTCGCTGGGTTCCATTTTAATGCGGCGCTTAATATATCAATGGGGTTTTTACGGAGTGTGTGCCCAATCCATCCCCAGCGTTTTTCATGGAGACAAAAATATCTCCTAAACACTGCAACGCAAAAGCTTCTGCATTCTGCATGAGACTAACGGGAACAAGATGAAGATTCTGATTCTGAACTTTGAGTTCATGTCACTGATCAGGGCCGTGGTTGTGATAAGTGTTTAGAAGGTCCAGAGGCCTTCTTCTTGATAATATTAAGTGTAATATAAACTTCTTACTGGTACCAGTTTGAAAATAATGCTACTGTTGTTTGAAGTTGATTGCAGCTTAATTGGACACTTTAACTCCTTATAAGAAACTATTTCTTGTAGATACTTGTTCTTTCAAAGTGGTTCAATGTTTATCTACTGATTTTATTAGCTATTCAGGTTTACGTATAAATTGTACTACTTAACAGTTATTTTTTCTTTCTTTTCTTTTCAATTTTTTTTATTAAACTATTTGGTTTATTAATTATATTTTAATAAAATTACAGGTATATCAATGCATAAAGGATACGCTTTTGTACAGTTCACTAATCCTTTTGACGCACGCAATGCTTGTCATGGCGAAGATGGACGAACAGTGCTTAGTCAAACCTTGGGTAAGTACAATTTTAATTTTAATAATAATTTTTATAAAATAATATTAAAAGTACAATTAATTTCATATAATTAATAAATAATACAATTCAAAATTAGCACTTCAATTAGTAAAAACTTATAAAAAAAGTTAAATGAAAATTAAATTAAAATATTGTGAACATTTATGCATTTTTAAGTAAAAGATTTATATGATGATATGACATATATGATATGGTCCGATCGAAAAATATATAAAGAATAGAGCCCTGAAATTTTTTGCGAAAACTGACAGAGTTATCAATACCGCGTTTTCAAATCTCAGAATGGTTACAGTCTCCTCGGGGAGGTATGCAGATCTGAGGTCAATTATTGCTTAGTCTGTTGAAGTGATAAACAATAATCCAGTCAAGACGTAAAGAGAGGTTTTGAAGATACCTCAAGTTAAAGAGTAAAAGTCCTCAAATGCACTGGTTGAGATAGCTTCAACATAATAATGATATATAACCTTAAAAATTAACTTGTGATAAATTTCAATGTCGGAAGTTTTATCGTTGAATTTTTACGCATCTAGTAAACAAGACTAATTGATTCTTTCATATATAGATTGAAAAATATTTTATTCAATTACTCTTTTACTCTTTTACTTTAGAAGGTATAAATTATTTTATTAAAATATCTTTCAAAAATAATATATATACATTTCCATGATCAATAATTTAATATGACAGAAACATCTTTTTTTGTACCGTTACAGTAAGCACTAATACTATATATTATTTTTTTACCTTAATAGATTATTAGGTGGTAAAAAAACAAGCCTATAAAAAAACAAGCCTATAGGCTCGACTGAGGTGAACTCCCCCGTTAGTCGCGTTTAAAGCAGCAATAATTTTTTGCATCATTTCCGGGGTATTGGCCGTGAACCGGAAGTATAAAAATTTTAAGCTAGCGAAGTATTTTCTTCGGCGTTTAGTAGTATACGAAAAAAAACCCAGACGAGTGGCAACTATTTCAGAAGTTTAAATAAATCCTTTGTTATATATAACAAAGTATTTAACTGAATAATTTCTCACATATCTACTCACTCCTTTTCTCTATGCATTTTGTACATTTGGTCTGGTTTATTTCAGCGCCTCATACCAATGCACTCAAACGGAAATGAATGCCCTAAAATAGTTCAAAGCTCAAATGGAAGTTTAAAAATAACACTTCGAATTTTTTATTTAAAAACGCAATTAATAGTATTTTTTAAACTGTTGCACTTCAATTGGAGGTTATAATTACAGATTATTAGACTCTCCTATAGTTTTAGAATATGTACTATGGTAATTGGGACTGAGTATTCTAAGACCATCTAAAGCAAATACGTTAAAAAAGTAATTTTACTAATTAAAGGTACAATTTGTTCCAAAAAGGCGCAGGTTTTGATAAACATTAGTGAACAATATGGTTTTGACTGATGTGACGAAGTATAGAAGCTCTCGACGTAAGCATAGTGCAATTATTTTTCCTTATTGGACTTGTATTAAATTTTTGATAAACATTTAAAACAACAATACTTTGATATGCAATGTAAAAATCACTGCGTGAATGATATGTTCTCATAACAGCTTCCTGGGTTTTAGAGAAACAGCAAACCATTTTTAACGCTTACTCTGCAGTCATAGGAGTAAGGAAAGATAGTCGATAATCGGTTTTTCCATTGTGACAATAGTACCGATATGTCAGCTTCAAATGATGATGATGATGATTCTTCTTCTTCTTGAGTTAGTGCTATTACGCACTTTTACTCTGAATTGACAGATCAAAATAGACAGCTAATTGTGTTCAGATGAAAGATGAGAATGACATATAAATTTAGATACATATACTAGTTTTTCAAAACTAACTTGTATATAGTATATATAGAACTTTATTTTCAAATTCCTCTTTCATTTTTTCGACTTCTTTTTATCTCTTATATTTCTTTTCTTTTGACACATTTTTTTTGTTATTTTTATTAATGTTCAATAAATTGTTATTACGACCAATATTCAATTAGTTTTTATATTTGTTACTGGGCTTAGGTCGTTTATTCATAACATCAATTTATAAATATATAAATATAATTATAATTATA